TTATTAATTTCTAATTTACCGAAGTTGATTGTGACACTCTTCCTGAAATAACCCACCCAAAAATAGTGTTTTGTGCTAACATATGTCCTTGTGGATGTTTCAACATGTCACTCAATAAAATTTCACTATAAACTTCAGCTCCAAGAAGAACGTCTATTCTACCAGGTGATGTATACCCTGCATCAGCTAGTGATAATTTCTCGATGTCTAGCCAATCAGGAATGTTTACATTAGTACATGGAATACGTGAAGTAAGTGATTTTAATACATAAGCGGTAATCTGAATTGAATTGTTTGAATTTCTCTGTGATTCTATACGAAAAGAGACCATATGTTTAATTATTAATTGACCATCTCCCAGACCTGACACACAACCATTTACTGGAGTACGTTTAAGCCCTAGCAATTGAACCGTCTCTTCGGTCACAAACGACGCTTGTGATCCTTGATCAATTAACACCCTAAGTAAATTCGATTGACCGTTTCGCGAATAAGCTCTAACAACTGCCGTTGCCAATAACACACTGTACGTTCCTATCTCATTCTCTTTAGCAAAATTGGCAACAACTCTCACTTCACTATCAGGAGTTGCATTTGTGTTCTCTAATGTGGGTCGCCCTGAATCAGTGTTTGTATTCTCTAAATTATTTATAGGCCCTTGATTATTTTCTTTTTCGAGGTGCAGCAGTGAGTGATGTCTCCTTCCACATCTACGGCAGCATGTTGACTGACGACATTTTCTTACAGTATGAGTGGGTGCGAGACAATTAAAACATAATCCCTTTGATTGAGCAAGATCTTGTCTTTCTCGTGGTAGTAAATGTCCAAACGACTTGCATTGAAAAATTAGGTGATCACCTGCACACATAACGCATGATTGCTTCGTAGTTAATTTTTTATCTTGAACAGCTGCAAATGACTTAAATTTCTCCATTTGTTTAATATTCTGCTGTGGCGCTCTCGTGGCGTGTTTATTGGTATCTATAATTTCTAAAGTTCTAAACCTCGACTCAAGAAATTCCATTAAATCCTTCCAGGTTGGTAATGTGTCAGATGATATTACACTGACCCTTGTCTCCCATTGACGAAGTGATTCGTGATCCAGTCTAGAAGTCACCAAATAAACCACCATGGCGTCCCAAGAACTAGTAGCAATGCCCAAATTATTTAATGAAATTAGACATGCCGATGTTGTGTCAAGTAAACTTTTAATAGCAGGTGCAGACTCCACGTTGATGTGTTTTTGTGAAAATAAGGCCTTTAATATTGCATTACAATTGTATCTTTTATTATTATAACGTTTAGTAAGTGTTGTCCATGCGATTTCGTAGTTGAGTTCTGTAGTAGGTAAATTTCGAAGTAAGCCTTCTGCTTCGCCCGACAGACTCCCTTTTAAATAATGTAACTTTTGGACTGATGATAAACTCTTGTTATTGTGTACGACTGATGAGAACATATCAAAGAAGCTTTGCCAATCGTTATATTTTCCGCTGAACGTGGGTAATTGTATGCACGGTAATTTTACGTCACTGGTAGTAGGCGCTACTGGCATAGAATGTGCAACAACAGGGTTTTTTGTTTGAAGAACCTCTTGTAAGGAACTTTTATAATTAATGTAATTTTCTTCAAATTTGTCATAGATATCATTCTTAAAGTACCCAATGACGTTGCGCTTCTCAGTTGTAATTACAGTGACAATTTCTTGATGAGTATCTTGAAAATCTTTCCAAAGCTTTTCCAATGTATCTAGTCTCGTATTCAAGTAACTGTTGGTTATTCTATCCTTTGGACTTTTCTTATGATTTAATTCTGATTTGCATAACCTTTGATATCTATCCTCTTGTATATTCAGTAAACCCTCCATTGTTAATAATGTATTCAAATTTTATCTTTAAATTAATCCAAACAATTAATGTTGTACACTAGTAGAATATCTGTGCATTAATTTATCTCATTAAATTGTCCAACGTGTATCACAATTATATTTGCCTAAGTTAATATAAAGGCAAAAATATTTCAAAGTCAATGTTCCGTGTATAAGTAGTCCACAAGATACTGTCAATGATACAAGAAAATATTCTAAGTTGTTGTAACCACCAGAAACTAAGTCCTTAAAATGTTCTAACACTTTGAAATTTTTCTATGTTGATGTAAGCCGCCAGAAACTAAGTCTTTAAACTATTTAAACACTTTGAATATTTTCGACATGGAGTCCTCGTCTGATCACTTTTTCACTAAATTAAGTCTATGAATTTACTTTAAAATTTTACAAGTCCAAATTTACTACTAAATAATTCAAAGTTAATATTTCACTTTATTTTTACTAAGTTATTTTACTCACAGTTTTAAGGTCCAATTTCACAATCCATAGCACTCACCACCGCCACTTACGACTTTTCAACTTTTCCCGGGTTTCGGCACCAGTTTTGTTTAACACAATTTACTATAGAGGGCACTACAATAAAACACACAACTATTTACACTGCGTATATTCGTCACCGCCGTGACCAAAAAAGCGACCCAAAAAAAATTAATACAATTCCAGTACATGGGTTGGGACAAAAGTCAAACCTTAGCGCGTTTCAATTTTTCCACTAGCGCCATCTAGTATCATAGATGAGAAACAAACTTAGTAATTTAAACGTTACGTGTAGTATTTGAAGTTTATTGTCAATTGAAGACTTTGCAGGCTTTTCAAGGGTGATTATTATTTTGGAGATCTTTCTGTTCTTTAAACAGAATTAACCAATATTACTCTGTAATATGTAGCTTTCATAGTATACGATTTTTAAAATGGTTAATTTTTTGTCCATGCAAATAATAGGCATATACCATTTGTCCAGTTTATAACACTAGTTTAGATTTGTGTCAAATGATAGTAGTAATAGATTTTTTTTTGTCTCCAGGGCCTTCCGTCGTTTTCGCGCGGTCTGGAGGCGGCCGAGGCAGCACGCTCGCGCCTCGTGCGCTGGGCGTGCGGTGATCCTCCCGAGGAGCCCGACCCTCCTCGCAAGAAGATGCCGCACGCGCTCCGCCGAAGGTGGCCCTTGTGCCCCTGCTTTCAAGTAAGTAATCTTTGTATTTAATAAAATCATCAACTTTGTGATTAGGAGACTGTGTTTATCTTTGTTAAGGTTTCACGTAAAAATGTCTGGTGGAAGTAGGATGAAGTTTTCAAGGAATATGTTGTTATGTGAACGTAAAGTATATGACATGGGAACTGATAAATGAAATTTTTGTGAACATGTTTACCGCAACTGTAAACCACAATTTCCTGTACAAAAACATTTATATTTCTCCTTTATTTAAAATATAAGACCATCCTTGTAAAACCGTCAATCTTTATATTAAATTTCATTAGGATCCTTTCGTCGTGAAAGGAGTGAAAGGAGTCGAAAGGAGGAGAAGTGAGGAGTCGTGAAAAGTTGACAGACAGACATCATTTAACATTTATAATATTAAAATGGATTTCCTATACAGGCAAATCGTTATCGTTAAATTTCTATGTTTCCTGAAACTCAAATAATATTGTTACTAAAATATTTACTTATTAATTTTAATTTAATAAGCGGAATAGTCTATTCATGTTGATAACCAGTTGATTGAACTTTGTCATTGACTTAAATGTTATCACGAAATTTGCATTGTCTGCACGTTATTTTTTAAACTTGAATATAATCGGTTAGATCTCATAAGATTAGATCTTTTCTTGTTATGTGTTCATATAATAGTATCAACTGTTATTCGCGTAAACTGTATAAGTAATTATATCAGCTATTCTTGAGTTTGGGAACTATTTGTATTTAATTTAAAGAGGTTATTTTTACTGTATTAACTTTAGTTAGACTTTGTATGAAGTCATCGGTGTAGATACTATTTCACTTTTAATTGGGTGACAAATTGCGGTAAAATTACATGATAAGGGGGCATGACATAGCCCTTTAGAATGGCAATGCTTGAACATCACTGTCGTGGGTAATTATAAAGTAAATATATATGTGGGTACTACAGTAATAAAGTAGTTGTTGTTCACACTCGAGGCGTTTCATTACATTCACTACATGGTGACAGCGGTATAAAAGATTACGAATCCTTAACGCGTACATAAGTATTATAAATCAGTACATAACAGTAAATAATAGTATTAGAAATATATTTGTGTCATTGTGTTGGTGTGGTGCAGTATAAAAGTGTAATAATGGAGCACGCGCGTCCGCCTGCAGAATTAAATATGGACGGCGGTCCCGTGAGCCGGGCCGACGCTTGGAAGAAATGGAAACAACAATTCATCTTATTTTTGAAGGCTTCTGGTGTAGCCTCGGAGCCCTCGAGTGTCCAAGCTAGTCTAATGGTGAATCTCATCGGCCCGGATGGCTTCGATGTTTATCAAACGTTCACATTCGACGAAGACAAGGAGCGAGATGACGTCGCGGTATTGATGAAGAAATTTGATAATTATTTTGGAACAAAGCCGAATGTAACATTGATGAGATATAAGTTTTTTACGCGTAACCAAGATGAAGGGGAATCTATACAACAATACGTCACCGCACTGCGTCTTCTGAGCAAAACATGCGAGTTCACCACCCTGGAAGAGGAGTTGATCAGGGATAGAATCGTCTGTGGAATTCGACATTCCACTGTCAGGGACAGACTGTTGCGGTGCGATGATCTCGACCTAGATAAGGTCATAAAAATTTGCCAAGCGGAGGAGGTGTCCCAGGAGAGCTGCCGTCAGATAGGATCGAGTGGCGACGCGGCACGCGTGGACGCGGTGTCGGCGCGCGGCCGCGGGCGAGTGGCGGCGCGCGGCTGGCCGCGGCGGGCGGCTAGCGGCGCGGCGCGCGGAGCGGCCGTGGGGGCCGGCCGCGGCTGCGCTTGCGCAGCGGACCGCGCGGTCTCCGTGCCGCGCTTGTGGGTCCGCGCGGTGCAGCGACGGCGAGTGCCCCGCGCAACGAGTAAGCTGTTACGTTTGCGGTAATCATGGACACTTCGCGCGCATGTGTAAGTCAAATCATTCTTTTCATAACGCCGGCCGCGGTCGGGCCGGGCGAGTATATGGAGTGGAATGTGATGTGAGTAGTGAACCGGAAGATGATATTTTTTATATTTCGTCCGTCGACTGCAGTGACGATTCAGGGGGCTGGTTTCAAATATTAACGTGCGAAAATGGATATGAAAATTTTAAATTGGACTCGGGGGCCGATTTTAATATAATATCCTTTAGTACATTTTTGAAATTAGGTTTCGATCCGAATATAATTGTAAAAAAGAAACTATCTTTAATATCATACACGCATGATATGATTCCATTAAAAGGAATCTGTACTATACCTTGGTATTATAAAAATATTATTTATAATCTTAAATTTGCTGTAGCGGACATGGAATGTAGCAGCGTGCTGGGACGGAACTCTTGCGAGGAGTTAGGGCTAATCAAGCGTATAATGTCTATTGAACTATCCAACTATAATGACTTATTTAAAGGTTTAGGACGTTTGCCCGGAAAGTATCACATAGTAACTGATAACTCGGTTCCACCTGTCATATGTGCGTCGAGGAAAATTCCTCATGGGTTGCGCGATCGCTTAGCACAGGAACTTAATAAAATGGTAAATTTAGGGGTCATTAGGAAGGTGAGTCATCCAACTCAGTGGGTACATCCTCTGGTGTTGGTGGCGAAAAGGATAATGGAATCAGGGTGTGCTTGGATCCACGGGAACTGAACAGAGCTATTCAGCGTGCTCACTTCCAGTTGCCGACTGTGTCGGAATTAGCGTCTCGCTTACACGGAGCTCGTTACTTTTCAGTTCTTGACGCAAATGCAGGCTTCTGGGCCGTGGTTCTGGATGATGAGAGCGCGGACTTATGCACTTTCAGCACGCCCTTTGGACGGTACCAATTTTTACGTCTACCGTTTGGTATTAATTGCGCATCAGAAGTTTTTCACGCCAAACTACGTCAACACCTGGAAGACCTGGAGGGTGTAGATAATTATGTTGACGATGTAATAGTATGGGGGGAAACTCGGCAGATTCACGATATGAGATTGAGTGCGTTATTAAATAGAGCGAAGGAAATAAACTTAAAATTTAATAAACAGAAATGTAAAATTGGAGTTCAGGAAGTGACTTATCTGGGTCATGTGTTTGATTCTAAGGGAATGAGACCGGATTATAATAAAATTAAAGCCATTAAAGAAATGCAAATACCAAAAGATAAGAAAGATCTCGAGCGGTTCTTAGGGGCAGTAAATTACTTATCAAAATTTATTCCAAATTACTCAGAAGTAGCTATTCCGTTAACAAGTCTATTGCGAAAAGATAATTACTGGCGGTGGGAGGACAGCGAGCAAAGCGCGTTCGATCAACTCAAGGAGTGTGTGTGTGGTGCGGGCGTGCTGGCGCTGTACAACCCGACGCAGCCAGTGCGGTTGTCTGTGGACGCGTCGCGAAACGCGTTGGGCGCAGTTTTGATGCAAGGCGGTCGCCCCGTTGAATACGCTTCCCGTACGCTTACAGATGCGCAAACCCGGTATGCACAGGTGGAAAAAGAGATGTTAGCTATTGTTTTTGGTTGTGAACGATTCCATCAGTACATATATGGGCAAAAGGGCGTCATTGTGGAATCGGATCACAAACCGTTAGAAGGAATATTTAAAAAACCTCTAGCGTCTGTCCCAGCGCGTCTGCAACGTATGTTACTGAAGTTACAGTGTTACGATTTGACAGTAACATACGTGCCAGGAAAATATATGTTTATAGCTGATATGTTGTCTCGTGCGGCGCTTCCCGATCTATATAGTGAAGAAATGCATTCTAATATAACTTACCAGGTGCAAATGATTATTCAAAACATTCCTATTTCAAATGATAAACTCACATTAATAAAGAGAAAAACTAAAAACGATCATGAACTTAATATATTAATAAATGATATAAATTACGGATGGCCTAAACACAAATATAACGTTGCAAATGAAGCAAAGTTATATTGGTCGATAAAAGATGAGCTTTTGATAGTCGACAATGTTATATTTAAACAGGATCAGGTACTTATACCTAAAGAATTAAGAGGAGACCTGTTAAAATTAGTTCACGAAGGGCATTTAGGTATAGATCGGTGCAAGCGGCGCGCGAGGCAAGTTATGTTTTGGCCGAGTATGTCACGTGACATAGAACAGTTTGTGAAGCGATGTCACACCTGTCAGGAGCACTCAAACAGACCTGCTAAAGAGCCAATGCTTCCTATGGAGATTCCAGCTCTGCCGTGGGAAAAGGTCGGCTCCGGCATATTTGAATTTAATCATAAATATTTTCTAATTATTGTTGATTATTATTCTAATTATATAGAAGTATGTAAATTAAACAATTTAACTTCTAACTTAGTCATACAAAACATAAAAAATATTTTTTCACGTCATGGTATACCCAAAGTACTGATAAGTGATAACGGGACTCAGTACACTAGCCGAGAGTTCAAAAATTTTGTTAATGTTTGGGGTTTCAATCACGTGACGTCCTCGCCAAATTACCCGCAGGCGAATGGTAAAAGTGAACGCGCTGTTCAAACTATTAAAATGATTTTAAAGAAGTCTATCAAAAGTAACGGAGATTTTGATTTAGCTCTTCTTAACTATAGAAATACACCTAGGGATGGGTTGAGTTCTCCTGCGCAGTTGCTGATGGGTCGCAGGTTGCGTTGTCAATTGCCAGTACATGAAAACCTATTAAAACCAAAACCTGTCGATCCTTCTGAGTACCGAACTATGTTACATAAACAAAATAACAATAAAATGTACTATGATCAACACAGTAAAACTCTTCCTATGTTAAGAGACGGTGACTCAGTAATCTGTATAGATGGAAAGGTTAGGAGCAGAGGAAAGATAGTGGGGCGCGCTAACACTCCTCGTTCTTACATTGTTAAAAATAGTGTCGGTGCCAGGTATAGGCGAAATCGCCGTCACTTGATTAGGTGTGAAAGTGATCCACAATCAATGCATAGCGACGATGTTAAAGATGAGCAGTATAGCGATGCGTGTGAGTATTCATGTACTAGCAGTGACGAGGCTTCGAATCCTAATAGTGAACAGCTCATCCGCAAAGCTAAAGCAGTAGCTATTCAACGCCTACGGAAAAAATTGTAAAAATAAAATACTATTATCATAAAATACTTTTCATATTATATACATAAATATTTTTTATTTTTCTTATAACGGGTAAATAAGGTGATGGGTTATTTATACAAGTTAGTGTATAAGAAGTATTGTACAATTAAAATATAATACAGTATATTTAAGGAGAGGAAGCGTACCCTTTTGTTATATTCTTTAGAACTTGAGTACATTGTTTGTTTTATATAATTTGGGGGGAGATGTCGTGGGTAATTATAAAGTAAATATATATGTGGGTACTACAGTAATAAAGTAGTTGTTGTTCACACTCGAGGCGTTTCATTACATTCACTACAATCACAATCATCACAAATGATAACGTGATATCCTTAATACTGTTTATGTGAATTAGCCACTTAGGATCAGGTGGGCTGTTGCTTGCTAGCGAATGGCTGAACTGCGGTCACATAAGAAAAGGTAAATCAAAACATATTACTCACCTAGTTTGCAACCTACACATTTTAACGAAGGTAAAAAGTAGAAGTGGATTAATATATACCTGGTAGATCAGCTTTAGTCAGCAAAAAAATTCCCTGATGGGTCAAGGCTGTAGTTGCATAACTGTAAGGTTAGTTTGTGGCCGTGACAAGGGCACGTTAAAAAAAATGGTCAGTTTTTAAGTGGTATAATGATGTGCTATGATCAATGCTAAATGATATACGACGATAAGGCAGTACTGGACAGTCAATAATAAAAGGATGGTGTAGTTGAACCATAATTTTTATTTTATCTATTGTAATAATATTAATGTATTATTATTATAATTATTAGTCACCTTCGTCTGCGTCACATTTTCCTGATTTTGGCCTTGGATTTGGATTGGATTTGGATTTTTATTTTCATTTTTCATTGAAACTCTGCTCATATTAGACGTAGCGTGATGTAATGTAGTAGCCTAAATCCTTTCTTGATAAATGGGCTATCCAACTCTAAAGATATTTTAATTTCGACCCAGGAGTTCTTGAGATTAGCGTATTTAATCAAACATACTCTTCACCGTTATGAAATAAGTATAGATAGAAATATTATATTATTTTTTGTTTATAAAGTCCAAGTTAAATAATCCAAGAAGTAATTTAATATTTTTTTATTAGAAAAGTAACATTTTTGTGATATTTATTGTATAGCATAGCATTAATCACATTCAGACTATATAGATATATTCGTCAATAACACAATGTGTATCGTTACGGAACGTATCGAGTAACAGTGATCGAGTAAATCGATACAAAATATCGAGTTCCATCCGATCTGGCATTAGTTGGTGCGCCACTTTCACCATCCCACTGTACGTGGTAAGGGCTTTGATTTATGTTGCTATAAACCATTCTAGACTGGTTAGTAGTATGGTAGCGACCTATTTATAATGTACATTGTAGAATTGTTGGGTAATAATATAACTGCAGTGAATGGAGTTTCATTTGAAATATGGAAACGACTATGGATCAGTAGATAGAATTTACCTTACGCTCGATCAATTATGAATAAAATAAAATGAAATCCATTACCAGAATCAGAAATTTATAAGGAAGTTTGTATTTAATATACATATGATACTGTTGACATAGTGTTAAAAATGTACAAATAATAGGATTGACAGGCATTGACAGACAAGACAAAAAACAAAATACACTACTAACTACAAATAAAAACATTTGTTAGGTATTAACTTTAACCTTCTGTAAAACTGCTTATGAGTTTAATGTACTTGTCAAGGTAGGTCCTAAAAAGGAGTTGTATCCAGAGCCATAAAACGTAATAAATAAAAAAGTTTATTTTTTCACTACATGAATTTCAAAATGTAGGACAGTGTTGACTATGTCTCCTTATTCCCTCATAATATAAGCTAGTCAATTGCAAAAGTCTTCAAGTGTACAGCTGAAGATGTTTTCGACTCATTGGCGATGAGACAATCAGTCGGAATAGAATCGTTATTTGTTAGATATGGAAGTATTTGTATGTGTTGTTATTTGTATTAACTATACACTAGAAGTAGTCCCTGACTTGCTCTTTGTGACTGATAAATAACTATGATTTCCTCTTCAAATTATACAACGACAATTGTTGAGTTATATAATATTAAATTATAGCACCTATGAATTTGACATGATATACACGGTAACAAACGAAACGACTAAAACTATTAAGTAAATAGATTGATCAAGTTCTTTACGATAATTTCGAGTTACATTCTCACAACTAGTTCTATTATTACATTCAGTTACAGTCTCATTGCAATTCATAAGTTCAGTGTAATTCATCCATAATGTAAGGACTCATTACAATAGCTTGAAAAAAAAATATTACCATCATATTATATAATGGTATACCTAATAACTTTTGCATATTAAAACTGAGTGTTGCCTACAGAGTTAGCTCTAGATTATCTAAATCTCTATATACTGTCAAAAGCAATGCATAAAACTGTAAAAAAAAACATATATACGAATCAACCATGTTTAACAATTTTGTATAGACAACGTGCTTGGTTTTAAAAACAAAATATTGTAATATTATGCCAAAAATTATTTAGCGGAATAAAAAATCAGTACAGATTCAGAAAACTTTAGTAACCACTATATTGTACCAATGAGTATCTTGTTCAGTACAATAATATAATATTAATAATATTTTTTAAGATCCGGTCAGTGCAATTCAGAAACAAAGTTTGGCCACCAAATCAGCTATACATATAGCACCTATATATAGAACTAGACTAGTGCTAAAATCACAAAGATTATGTTTTATCAGGTGCCTTCTGTCTTATTGCACTCGTACTAAAATTGCATATTGTCAATAAGCGCACAGCCTAGCCTAACACTAGGGCTAAAAATATAAATTTAGAGTATAAATTGTATAAGATTTAGTTATATTGACTATATACTGTGGAGAATTTACATGAGAAATTTATATACATATCTTTATTCGCAGCGAACTCAGTAAATAAAGAACAATACTGATGCAAACATATATTGTAATGAACATAAGTATTTGTATTTCCGCAATGGTTAGAAAAATTTGGGAGTCTACTGAATCATTACACCACTGAGGCATACGTAGTAAACACCCAAATATTTGTATCCTGCGAGAATCGAACTCGCGACAATGCGAAGAAAGACAATGTACTAAATCTATTTGCCACCGAGGCCGTCGATAATAATAGACTCTTGCTTAATATACTATTGATTGATACTGAATAGTGAGAATAAAATATATATCCCACTTTAAATTAATGGCATTCACATTAGTGGTTCTATAAGCTGTTGGGTGTGGTGTTTTAAACAAGGCGTCGGAACTAATGGAAAGTGCTAGTAGTCACTTTAATAGATACTTATATAAATAACGGCTTTTAATATTATTTAATTTATTGTACTGTAGTATCATTATAAGCTTTTATTTCCACCACCCAACAATGCCTCTCAGTCATTCAAAGGTTCAGGAAGAAATTCCTCATTTAGTATTATGTCATGTCATTCCTCTCCTTCCTTTGTAATGAGTCTGCCTTTGTACTAAATTTATTTTTAACATTGTGATGTCTTTTTATATTAAGATTTACTATTTTTATATTAATGTTTACTATGCAAATAGACGTTTTATAAGTAGTATATGTAAATTATTTTTATTCGTGTTTAGTATTGCCACAGATAATATAATATTTATTTATTTCTACGCCTTTTTTTATTTCTCTAGTTCATTCTAGCGCTATCTACCACATTATGTCTTCTCTAACCAAAGGTTGTCTGGAAGTGATTGCTTATGCGATAAGACCGCCTTTTGTACCTTATTACTACTGTTTATGTTCTTTGTAATTTACTTCTGGTGTAACAATGAGTAAATAAATAAATAAACAATAATTTTATTATATTATTTTATTTCTAAGTTATTGTTATTCTAAGACTGTCAGCCAAATAGAAATAGTACAAAAATGCATTATAGGGCATTGAAATGGAGGTGGAGAGGAAGGTATGGAAGCATGATATCTTAATCCTCAGGTCCCCGTTTCAGGCGTCACATTGATTCGGGTATGAACGTGATGTTTATACTGTATATAATAGGCGACGTTACCACGTCACCAAGCTGCCCGTCAGCTGGTTGGCCATTCCAGTTAGAAAATAATCAGTGATTGCAGATGTAGGGTCAGCCCTATCATTGCTGAAACTAGTTTTGTACGAATGGAAAGCGTAGTGATGTCGGTCATGCGATACATAATTTACCAGAGAGATGAGCGTTTTCGGACCACGTGTACGATTCGCGAAATTATTCACTTGTTTTCTCTAAAATTCTAGGTGTACTTACATAGTGTTTGATGAGATACGTTTTTTATGTAATTCTGATATTGTATAACTTTCTTTTCGTTGATATAAAAATAACAGAAAAGTTTTATTGCATACCGACTTCTTCTAGATTTGTTTTGGTACCTATATTCGTCTATCGTGATTTATGAGATAACATATTTGATTTAAATTGTAAATATATGCATTTCATTAATAAATCATATACATTTTTGTAAAATGTATTTATTATATTTGGGATAATGAAACCTAATAAAATAGAAGCAGTTGCATACACGTTTTGATCCACTATCAATTATTTAAAGATTTCATAGATAATATTAATATTGTTATATTTATTTTTATAAAAACGATAAACTCAAGTTTGAATACTGAGTATGTATATTGGTGAATAGCCCATACTAAAACAGTACCTTTTATATAGTTTTTCTCTAGTATTTTACATAAATGCATCGGTACCACAATACCTATAGTTAAAGATACTGCCGTCAGTTAAAATTTTGTTAATTAAATTATAATTCCAACAATATTGAGTCGCATAAATAAAAATTTCCTGTCTGTTTCGAACATATGCCCATGAAATAGTAAACTACTGGCTAAGTATTTACATTAGAGTTCAAACGTTATTGTTTGATTGGCCCCTTGAAATCATCACAAGTTAACAATGTTGGGTCAACAGCAATTGAAACGCACAATAGTTCAATCGAGATACATCAAAATATAACAATGAGGGCAGTTAAGACTGCTTTGAGATTTGGAAACATTGCAACACACCTTGAGCAATGTTAAGCTCTTTTGAAAAGGTAGTGTGGCATTTTGATAAGGTCATAGGGTATCAAAAATTTTACTGTATAAAAAATAAAGCTAATTAAATATCCATTATACTGCTGATCAAATAGAAATATCAGTCATGATCAAACCAGTTAGTGCGCTGTGTCATTCCACAATTGGGCGTTCGCGAGAGGAACCTATTCTGAACCAGTATTGTGCTACCATTTAGGTTCTAAAGTGTGAAATTACCAGCCATGCGGTGACTAACATCGTGATACCTAGTGAACCAATTTATCAATATAGTCCTTACAATACCAATAGAATACGAAACTTGTTCTGCGAGTGAGAACTCAATTTTGTTTGAAATATTGGGATGATTATCATACTTTGTAATCTATGGTAAAAGAAGATAGTCAGTTTGGAAGTGCTTCTTCCTATAGATGATCTAAGTACTCATGACGTTGGACTGGCATCTTATCACTTATAGTTAGGGGTGAATGAAGAAATTGTTTCCAATAAGACTTTTAATGTCAAATTTTATACATTCAGAGATTGAATCGAGAGTATTGTATTTTGTTGACTGACTGATGTGTTTGTGTATTTAATTTTAGTTTTGTTGTTAATATTACTGTGCTTTGTGCATGTGTATGCCTTAAACGTAAATAAAAAAATATCTATCTATCTATATGGGGATACAAATTTCCCAATTTTAGACGGATACACATATGTAACAAGGTCAAAGGTTTGTCCAACCTTCCAGTATCGACAGAAAGAACGTCACAAGATAAAGTTTACGAGCCCTTTTGTTATATAATTAAACGATATTTAATTGTTGATCGAATTAGAGCGGGAGAATACGTCTCCATAAATGGACGGAAGTAGTTAACGATGACAGACAGTAAGTGGTCGTCTCGATTGTGACATATTGTCTTACGTGCTAGCGTTATGCACTCGCTCTATTTAATTAGTATTTACACGCCGTTTACTACAGTTGAAGTGTCTTATTGATTGCAATATTGAGTGTTGTTTGTTAATTGTAGATGAAACGACATGAAACGTGCTAGTACGAAAAAGAAAGATAGTAAAAGATTTCATTTCTCGCTACGCAAAAAGGATTTAGCAGCTAGCGTAAGTGTCTAACATACCTAATTAACTAAATAGATAGATATTTATCCTTATCAATTTATTTGTATAGATATCGTATATATACCTACTCGTAGGTATGATGTATTTACAGAGATGTATTGTTTTCTGAAACGGTTAATACTGACGAAATATTGTACAGTATTTTTCTGTCGTATTATTTTTCAAAGTTCATCATTTATTTTTATCATAACTATTGTTAACTGTAACGTATACAGTGATATATCTTTTACAAATATTTGATAAATGACGTTTAGGAATTGCAATATCAAAATTATGCAATGCAATATTAATCGCGAGATAATATAATGGTACAAAACAGCCGAGTTTAGTGTTAAATATCGTAGATGTTAGGGTTATTAATAAAGGCAATGTCTTTATGTTCATAAATATAATTGTACTGGCGCCCGAGACGTCCACTGCAGTGAAGTCATCGACGGAAATAATGCTCCTTATGAGCTCCTTATTAGTGTTTTAAGGACTTGAGGGTTAACACTTACAATAATTTGTTTAAAATAATAAAACAGTCGAATATTGGGATTTCTTTATATATTCATACTGTAAGAAACATTGTGCATTATAATATTGATAACAAGTTTAAAGAATATCAAAATGTTATATTACAGAATTTTTGAAGATGCTCTTCTACTATTACATATTCTGTATCTGTACTTAATCTTAAACGTATAGAAAAGATTTAATACGAAATATGTATTTGCAAATCACAATTTTTTGTAAAAATCTGTCGTGATGCCTTAGATATAAGATTATATGGTGTGGAAATGGGTAAGGCGTAGTATTTTAGAATCAAATGCAGATAAATCAGTATATTTTCAGGCATAAATAATGATTGATTGCATATACATAGTTATCGTAGTTTCCTGTGAAACACAACTATGTATAATATACTTATCCAATGCTTTGCGCTTTTCCTCGGAAAACACCCTATGGAAACATTTTAAGAGTGAAACCGTAAAATAACATTCATGTAAGCTGTATGGGAATTTAATACTATTCAGTTTGAGCTGAGGCGCTGTAACAATCACGCAGCACTCACCCTGAAGAAGTTTTTTTACAAATTAACATCCAATTAGAATTCAATATTTATAGTTAAGATAGTCATTGTCTGTCTGATCAGCTAATAATATAAATTGTAACATACAGCTCGTGTTTATTTGAGATGTCTTTACTAGTCAACCCTGAGCGAGGAGACATGTTGACAGTTCGAAGAATTGTGTGAGGAGCCGCCCAAAGGTTGAAATTGTGCAATGACTCACAAGTGGTTTATTTAATATTTATCTCTTATGTGACACTGACAACTATCATTGTTTAATGTAATATAATATATAGAGTTACACGCGTCTTTGTCTGCTTTTTTTGGATAACAGATAGCTTGTATGTGTCTCCTTGATACAATGTATCTAATACCAAATTTAATTACGATCAGTACTCCAGTTTTTTACGTAATCTGATATTTAAATATTAATATACATTGAATTGCTTTTTAATGCAATATTGAATAATGAACACTTTAAATAAAGAATATGTAGGTATATTCTTTTATCTGTGCAACTAGTTAATTTGTGCTGTCGTTGACTCTGACAGATAATCATATTCGTCTTAAATTTCTATACAATTATGTTTATGGGCGTTAATATTCCCTGAGAGGTTAATATGGTTTATAACCTCCAAATATTAAATTGGAAATGATTTTTATAGGCTTTGGTACATTTGTGCCTATTGTCTTAGTACATATAAAAATAAGATAAAATGAAATTCTTTATTAAGATAAAATAACTTATGAACGCAAATAAAAGTTTTATCTATCTATCTATCCGTGTATCTATATGACAGAGCGGATTACGGATTTCAGAGATTACTGTCACTTTTCATAAATTTAATATTTTTTACTACATAAATAATTATGAAATGAATTTTTTAAGATAACTCATAAAATAAATAAATTTTATGTGTACAGTATCTTATTAACTGCATTTTAAAATTATTTCAAGTTTCACATGTTCGTTTACTTTCTGATTGCCGAAAATAAAGTCATATAGTTAATTGAATTTGTATGAATACATATACAACATTATTGTTAATTATACCAACGAGATAAAATGTTACGTTGATGTTCAATTACTTATTATATCCATTGTACATAATGAATATTCGTCTGTCTGACATTATTCGATTGCTTGTTGCCATATTGGGTTACATTTGCTTTACTATTTTTGGAAGTCACTCATTGCTTTCTTCCTCGTTTATTTTTAGCATTGTCAATGTATTTAAATTGAGAGGTCCGGTTTCGAACTTTCGGATTTTTTCCGCAGGTACATGAACTGTGTTTTTGCGTAGTTTAATATACATTATTTATTATCAAGTGTGTTGAATAATATATTTTTTATATGTTAATATTATAAACGCGGAAGCGTGTCTATGTGTCTGTTTGTTAACTTTTTAGACAATGGAATGGATTTTAACTAAGTTGGGTGTTAAGACAGGAGATAGGTTATTATTTTAAAAAAAGCAGAAACCTAATTTAGATATTTGATATAAATATCTGAAATTGATTTCTATTTAAATTAGAATTAAGGTCTTACTAATAAGTTGACGAATCGACATTTATTTGGATTCGTATATAAAAGATTTTTGTATTAAAATGATCTTATCTCCATGAAAAACTTGTTCAAGTTGTTTCTTGTCTATATATCTTTACAACGTTACTATCTCAGAGCTAGATACATTTGATTAATTTAAAAAAATCTTGTTCTAGAATGATGAGCCGCCGGAGATTACATACTGCGTGGTGGGCGGCGATGGTGGTCTGGCACTGCAGGCCGTCACACCCACGCACCCCATGCCCCCACAAGAGGAGTTGGACGCTAAGTTTGCCGAGCTGGTGGTAAGTGTCATTGAACTTTGTAGTACGTAGAGAAGGCGCGTCTTAAAACAGGAGAGCACGGGACTCAATTTGACCCTTAATTTTTTGTTTAGGTGACCTACTATGAGTAATTACGTAGTGTGTGCGAATTATATGTACTCGTATACTAACTGCCCATCCTGCAACCGCAAACGTATGCTAACATATATAAATTTAAACCGAATCTTCTCTTTATGTGTATGGAGATTTTTATATCTATTTATTTTCCGTATGATTGATCCGTGTTACCTGCCCGCGCCTTCGTCCCGTCGTGAAATTTAACTTTTTAAATGAAAGTAGATAAAGTTTCTTTGATAAAAGTAGCATAAGTTACTCCTATAACATTTGCTATCTGAGAATGAAAGTTTCGTCAAAATCGGTTCAGCCGTTTCAGAGATTAGCAACAACAAACTGAAACAGTCGGCAAACATTTTATTAATAAAATTTTTGACGTATTTAGTGAAAAGCTGTTAATTTGATATTACAAACGGATACAACAATTTTATTTATTTGTATTGATTACGTACTGACGAAAGCTTAAGAACTCAACTTTGATAGCTAGCTTACTTGAATAATGAGCGTACTTATCCACTTATTGAAATAATAAGTACGAATTGCAGATTCAGTTTGTAAATTTCAATACCAATTTACTAAGAACTTATTAAAATATTAATGTTTCTTTAATATGGATGTGGACTAATTTAAAAAGATATTTAATACTTTTTCATTATACTTCTGGACTATATCGTTCTGATGTAACGTTTTAAAAGCAAATATACGAGTAGAGTTGTTCCTAGTGCCTATTTATGTCCGTGTCTTGAAACCTCGAGACCTGTGGGAGATGCATTTTAATTATTACAATGAGAGAGCCTATGTATAACAATTACTACTTTACCAAGAAGAACCGTGTGTGGGTGGGAATACTGGATCTTATTTTGTTTCTTGACGGTGCTTTAGTAGTTTACCGCAACGCTGGTGGCGGGTTCGATTCCTCGCACTACGCAAACATTTGTAGTCATAAGTATGTTTGTCTATATTGCTCTATCTGTCTTCTATGTATATTAACAAGATGGCGCTGTGCGGCTTTTCCTGGGTTGTTATTATTGCGTTAAATGCCATTCGTTTTGCGGACTTTTCATGTAAACTGTACATAAGTGGATGGATGAGTTACGTGTGATAGTGTACGTAAACATTGTTACGACGAAAGTGAATTACGGGTGCGATCGGTTTGGCGTCAATGAACTTGATAAACTCTCTGTTTTATCGTTTCATCCGCAGCGAAGTTATAATGAATTATGACAGTCATTATCTTATATTGCAATCAATAATGTATTCATATTTATTTGTAACAAAATATAATACCAATTTATTGGAGATATGCATTCTATGATTAACTGATTACATGTTTGAAAATACTAACCAGAATAATATATAAACTTAGGGTAGGGATTGTTGTTAAAAATATTTTGTTTGTATTCTGTTTTTATTTATTTGTCATGTTCAAATAAAAAATATAGTAATAGGTACTATAACTTCAATACAATATGTAACTATATTATTGAGATACAAGATAGCTTCTGCAAGATGGGCAAATTTCATAAGGTTGAAATCCTTTAGTTGTGAAAACGTAACAGGCAGACAGACAGTTAAACACGCTCTTATTTATATTATTAGTAGGCTTCGTATTTATAATATGCGAAGTAATGGTTCATAGTAATCATTTGAAATAACTAAATAAGTAATGGACATCTCAAAACATAAAACGACCAGCTTTCATGATATTCTGATCTGGTAGTTAAACGCTAGTCTGCGTTCCCATCATTCACTCGTAGTGTAGCGACGTAATTTCATCATTGTTGTACGAAGTGCATTTCTGTTTTGTTACACAACTAACTACTTTAATCTGTTACTATTATCTCACAAAAGAATGCTTTAATCTCAACGTTTACATGTTTTGCTTATAATGAGTAGTACTACATTTAGATAAAATATGCATTCAAATCTTACATAGATATTTAAAGTATAGTCTTCTATAATTTCGATATTTTGTTTTAATTAATATTGTACACCTTTAGTGAGTTATTAAATTAATTGAAAATAACCTGATTTAGATAATGTTTATTAGTTAGCTAAATTGCGAGCATCATCGTGGAGATCTTTGGGGGAGGCCTTTGTTCAGCAGTGAAACTCTTGCGGACTGAAATGATGATCATGATAACTAAGTAGTTATTTTTATTTAGTTTTCTAACTGTGAGTGAGCTCGAGATAAGAGAAATTCTAATTTTAAGTCTTCTATGATTTTCTCAAAACACTATATGGAAGTAGTACCTACTATTTAAGTACCACATTTCTGTATCTACTAATATTTAATATTAACGTATACTAATTTTTATAATACTCTTTTGTAATAAAAAAATATAACATTCATAAAAAATGTGATTAAGTTGGGCTTATCTCTGAAAGAGATTATCAATGTGTACTAATTACTGAAATTATTAAATTTCGGATTTTTAACATCTACTTTTAAAAATCTTTACAATCTATCCGAGGGTACTGTTTAGTCACATGTACTTACATTTATCTTGAATATAACATTTGAATTTATAGACTACTTTCACAGTAGTATTTTGGCCGCCCTATCCGCAACGTGCTATGCGGATAGGGCTGCCAATATACTGTTGTGAAATATTTATAATACCTAAAAGAATATCCCAAAATTATAATTAATTATTATTCCGTTAGTTTTATACGCAAATAAGGACTATTTGCGTATAAAATTAACGGAACTATATTTATAAAATAGATAAATTCATATAATTATCGTATTACGTGGTAATATTGTTCTATTTAATTGAAATGTATAATCTCTGTATGATCACTCGTAATACTCATAATCAGAAAACGAAAGTTAAGATCAAAGACATATAAAAAAGATTATACATATAGACTGAATTTAATTGAAGATATATACTGATAAATCATTCATTTTTTGTTTTCATAAGAGAAACGAGAGCATAGAAAATTCATTCTCCTTTTTATATTTAGGCATAATGCGCTATTTTTCTACACACACATAAACGATAGTTTGACCAAAACCGATTTGCCAAAATAGATCTAATAAAATCTAAGAAAACTATACTATATAACTTTTTTAAAGTACCTACTGACGGTAATGTATTTTATGGACTGACCTTGCAACGAGAATAAGGCAGCATTAATTATTTAAATTTAATTTTTATACAATACTTCTATCCTGTTTATAATGTTATTAATCTTCCTTAAATAACAATTATGTAATTAGATGTGAAATGCAAATAAGTAGGTATTTCTTAAAGATTAATTAAGAGCATGGATGGTTACGTAAATGTATCTATCCTGTTTATTATTAATAGTTAAATTTATGACAATATGTAAATTTATTATACATCATGATATAAAAATTATATAACTTAATTACGTTGTATTTTATGGAACCATAATATGTCTAAATAAAGTCTGGTTCTCAATATTTATTATCATTCTCATCCGTGCATTAATGAAAAGACAATAAAACAAATCAATTCTATATCTAAATTCGCGTCTCGAGGATATTTAGGAAATTGCAATAATTATGAGAAAAAAATAAATATGAATGAAAAATAAAATATTAATATTATATAACTATAATATTTATATTAATAGTGAATTCATTAATTCGTTCAAAAACCAGAGAAGTCACAACAAAGAGTTCATATTACGAGAGTATTTCACTCTCGTAATATGAACATGTTACGCTGACCCCAAATGAATGAACAAGAAAGAAGCAGATTATGATACAGTGAATTTATTTCGTTTACAGTTAATTATTTTTTGTTTTTAGAATTTGTTGTTGAAGTAGTAAAATATACAGAAATAATACTGTTATTTGTATTATTTTTGTGAACAATTAGTTTTGTTAAATTTCGTCAGACTTGTAATCTTACCTGAGGTGAGTACCAGATAACAAGTATCGAATACAATTGGCAAGTGACGTTTAATTTGATTTAGTACTCGCCGCTGGCTCTGAAATTACATTCTCGTTACTTCGAAATGTATATAAGTAATTTCATCGTATTTATGGTTTGTAATCATAAATGGACAATCTATAAATACTATAATTTTAAAGATATCTTATATATCGTTATTATTTTTGTAATGTAACTAGTTGATGCCTGATATTTTATCTACATGAACCATATAAGGACGTTACAACTGAATGTTCTGAGGCTTTAACTTTTAGGATTTTCTTTGTCAAATATTATCTAGAACAGGACCAACGATGAGACATTCACTTTCACGTTTATTGATTACAAGCTTCATTATAATTATAGATTAGATTATGACTTGTAACGTATTATTAAAAGACAAAATCGATTAACTTCTGTTATCATTAATCAAATAGTTTACAAATTGGTCATTAAGTGCAAAGTAAATTACTATTACCTGTCATTATCATTTTAATACTAATAAAGTTTGTAACTGTCTCTACTTATATCCATTACTGGGTAATAATTATCATCTCACCTATTTTAGTTATAAACTAGCATTTTTTTATTTACAATAAGATACTCGTACTAAGGCAAAATAGTCTCTGAAATTTCGTGCCTGTCTGTAATAAGTTTTTTCAGCTATCGAATCTGTACTCTTGAATTACCTTCCTATTTTTTCATGAGATAGTCATTGTTACGTAAGGGTCACCGATTAGGCCGTGCTACTTAGTCTACTATATACTGCATTATAAATAAATGCTTTATGCATCTAATAAATAGGATTTTTACTGTTATTTCGTAGTATTAACAAGATTTCTAGTAGCAATGGTTCGACTTTATTAATTTTCATTTTACTTGATTAAGATATTAACTTATCAACTCATAAAAGGTTTATATAGCCCAACAGTATTTAATTAACCGGCCAATCAAAAGTTAATGGTGATAAACTTTGAGATAAAAGGAAATTTCACTTGC